CTACAGCATGTAAAAATATAATATAAGCTCTAGCGGACTTGGTTCTATGGTAGGTCTTTAAGGTTTGGTGTTAGTCTTCAGTTTGTCTGTGGCCATTTAATGACATGTGTGACTTTCTCCTGTTAGACAGTGGTAGTGGGATCCTACCTCATCGCCCATGGCTTCTTCAGTGTGTATGCTATGTGTGTGGACACACTTTTCCTCTGCTTCTGTGAGTAATTTTTGCCAAATATACACATTTTCTCTCTTCCTTTTTTACAAACAGCTGTCTAAATGTGAGCTGCTGGTTTCGTCTTCTGACCTTTCTTCTCTTTGTCTCATTTTTCCTATTAATTTCACTTTACCTTAAACCCTACACATTCCTTTCTTTCACCTTTTCATTTTCCCTTAATTTTCCATTAACCCATTCAAAAACACAACATACCCATGCACTTATAAGGTGAGGACTTGGAAAGAAATGACGGCTCTTCTGAAAGGCCTTACTTCATGTCCCCTGAGCTGCATGATATCCTCTCCAAATCAAAGCCAGTGGAGGAAGATCGCAATGGTGTTGAGCAGGCGGATGCTGCGAAACAAGTGGACGAAGTTAAAGTGGAGGAGGAAACACCTCTTCAGCAGCAGGATGGAGAAATACAGCTGAAAGAACAGACAAAGCTGAAGGGGGAAAATGAGGAGGAGCAGGCTTTGCAGTCAAAGATAGATGCTGACGAGTCAAAAGAGGAGAAGACGGAGGAACAAAAGATCAGTCTGGAAGATGAGACTGAAAGGAAAGAAGAACCAGAAGTGAAAGAGATGTCAGAAAAGCAGGAGTTGAAAACGGAGGAAAAGGTGGAGGAGCTGTCCGCTGCACCTGTGGAGGCAGAGAAAGAGGAGACTGGTGAAAAGAATGAGAAAAAAGAGGAGACTAAGGAAGAAAAACCTTCATCTGGACCACAGGAGTAGATGTTGCAAAGCACCTGAGGCTCAGAAAATCTCATAGAGCATAAAGAATGAAAGATGTGCAACTATACCTTTGTGATATGGACCTGTTAAATGTACGCCATACAACAAGCTAAAGTTTCAGATTGCTTTGCTATTTGAGTATAGGAGGGATGCCCACCTGGAGAGGGTTGAAGGTTTGAAGCAGGTCAAAAGCCCAGTGCATCTCTGTAGCTTGAAAAAAAAAAACAAAACGCTCTCTTGTGTTGGTTTTAGAACAGTGTTGGTTTTTATATCGTGAAGATCTGTTGAACATCGTGAGTGCTGAACCTGTGCCTGATTACTGTCACTAATATTTGTTGTCTTAATGCTGTTAACAAATGCACTACAGATACACTTAAGTACCGTGTTTACAGTCAGAACAAACACATCTCAATCAAATCTCTTTCACTGTTTACAATAATACCAGCTGACGCCAAAATGTTAACAGACATATTTGATATACTGTATGAATATTGGATTTTTTCCCCTATGGAACTTGTACATATACAGTAGTGTACATCTGTTATGTATTTTTTGGCTTCAGTCAAGTGGAGATCCTTGCAGAGAGGGGTTCCATATATTGTCTTTCCACCTACTTGCCTTGGTATTTTGGACTGACGTAAGTGCTGTGATTGTGTCGCCATGATGAAGCCATCATGACCTCTCGGACTCTACGAACCCCCCAGTTTGTTTACTGATGCCTCCTGCCTTGCTCTGTCCCTCCTCTTAAATCTCTCTCTCTCTCTCTCTCTTTAAGCACTGCATGGTACTGACATGACCTTCTGAATGCTAACTAACATCTTAAGTCTCTGGATGCTTTTGTACCTTTTTCTTGTCACTTTGTGAAAGATCTAAGTCGTTTTTCCACTAAATTTTCTGATGACATTCCGTCATCACTGTGTGTCAATCTTCATTAAAGGTGATTGTATTTTAATCGTAGTAGTTCAGAATTTCAAGTTTGGTTGGTGTTTTGAAGCAGGTGAGTTTTCATATGAAATAAATCCCTGGCAATGATTTAAAGCACCTATAAACACACAACAACAAATTTTACAACAAATTTTACAAATCAGTTTGTATAAATTTCTCTTCTTCTTCCTTCTTAAAATAATTATCACTTGAATAAATCTACAGTTGGGCTTTAGATACTTAAATCAGAATATCTCTCTTTGTTATTAAGAGCATTTTCTTCACAATTGTTTCCCATTTATAGCTTGTGAGTCCTTAAAAGAAGTGGCATCGTGTATACATTGTGACCCATAATCACATGCTATTGAATTTTGTGTGGAAGTTACTTGTGAACAGTTTGAACTAAGACATACATGATGAGGTACATGAAGAAAGGAATGAGAAAAGTCATTAAAATAAACGATACATTGTAACCTAAATGTGCCTTTTCCCCTTTTTTTCCTTTTAGTCATGTCATTCAGGGTTTTTTAGGAGTATTTAAAGGATCCCCCCCACCCCACCCCACCTAATTAGATAATACTCAAAGCAATTTACTTAAGTACACCTTAGGGGGCTGTAAGATAGAACTGGCAGCAGATAGACGATGCATAAATAAAAGAAAGATAGATTACAGATCTGTGTTGGTGTGTGTGAGAAAATTGTTCTTCAACTCTCTCTTGTCCATGTTGCAGTGGAGGACCTGGAGCGCAATGATGGATCACAGGAGAGGCCGTATTTCATGTCACAGGACCTGCTCACACTCCTCAAGAAGTCTAATGAAGGTTACAAATCAATGGACTAAGCCTCAGTTTGTATTCATGGGTGTATTATTCTGTGTGTGTGTGTGTGTGTGTGTGTGTGTCTCAAGTTAAAAGAACAAAAGGAGGAATTACAGTGCCATTTCATTTGTACATAAACAGTGTATTTGTATCGAACTGTCAAATCGGATTCATTTCTATTGTTTTTATGATATTACTCTTTGTTTTGTATTTTGTCACAAACTCTTAATTATCTCTCTTTACCTGCATGCACAGGTTGAGATTTATTACAGAAGGAATATGTGAGCTGGAGTTACAGATGATAAGCCCTGTTGCCTTAAGAGCTATTGCTTTCTGTTTCATTGTATATTTGGATTTTATGTCTATATGGAAGTTTCAGTGGGTCCAGATTAAGGCAGATTGAGTAAAGCTGTGCTTTATTAGTTTAACTAAGCATATTGCACTGTTTAAAAAATTAACTCACCAAAGCAAAATTGCTTAACTGCAAGTGATTAAAGTCTTAGTATGATAACCAAAGCCTTAAGAGATTACAAATGACCCAAGTGGTTTAACCTGGATATAGACTCAATATTTTAATAGCTTTGTCTTTATTCTTTTTTGTGTCATACATGCCACTGAAAATGAAACATGTTCATACTGTGTGAATTTTGACTTTGTAAAATGTTTACATTGTCTTTTCTTTTGTATTCAACTAATAAATGTTGGTTTTGACATCCTCCTTTTTTGTTTTTAGTGTTTTGTTGGTTTCTTTAAGCTTTTCTTTATCATTGGATTATCATTATGACTGATTTACTCAGTCCAGCTGTCCATTACTGTGTGGTGCTGCTTGATAATGTTGGCAAATAACAGTAATATTTACATAAAATGAAATAGCATATACAAAATAATTTTATTTTTGTAAATATCTTTATCTTGGTAAAAACTACTACACTATAACAGGGTTCTACAGAGAACAAGTTGAGAACCGTCTCTACGACGGCCGTCAAGCCGTTAAATCTCAGCATTCATTCTGAGGTACAGCAGCCCATACAACGTACAATATTATAATTAGAATAATTGTGAAAGTGTAATAATTCTACTAGACTTGTGGGCTTTCGAGACAGAAAATACAGCTTTAACAAAAAGGAATGCTCGAAAGATCCCTAACTTTCAGTCCTGTTATAAATGTACATGTTGCTAGGCAACATGTGCACGTAAAACATACCGGAATTTTGCGGTTAGCTCAAGCTAAAACGAAATACGGGATAATTTCTCCTTTGCGCACTCTGTGCTAACTCACAAAAATGGCGGTCAGTGGCAGCATATCCGATCAGAAAGTGGAGCTTCAGCGTAAAATCAAATTTCTTGGTATGTTTGTTTGAAATGCAGTGGGTGCCTTGATTTAATTTCATGCTAGTAGGCATGGGTTAGCTGGAATCAGCCAGCTAACTGCCATATTTAGCGTGAATGAATATACATGAATTCTTAATGCCTTATAATTCATATAATTAAGTCGAATAAAATGGATCGCCTATTTCCATGCATTATTATATTTGTCCACTAGAGTGCGAAAAAACAGCACGTTATGAGAGGACTGAGGCCACCACCAGGAAGCAAAAAGAGTTCATCCGTCAGCTGAGGCAGGAGAACGAGAACCTGCGTAAACAGCTGGCAGAAACTAAGGCTGTAAGTAAGGCGATCAGATCACAACAAATTAAACATGGAACATGTTTTTAATTGTGGGGAAGTGGTCTCAAATTTGGATAAATCCAACTTACTGAAATAATAAAGGTTACAGATCAAGGTTGGGCACATTTTATTTCAATTTAGTTTTATTTATATTGCACCACATCACGAAAACAGTTGCCTCAAGGCACTTTATATTGCAAACTAACGACCCTAAAATAATACAGACAAAACTCTAACAAGCAAACGACTCCCTACGAGCAAGTGCTTGGTGACAATAGCAAGGAAAAACCTCCTTTTAACAGGAAGAAACCTCCAGCAGAGCCAGGCTAAAGGAGGGATTGTGGTTCTGCCACTGCCACTTGATTGTGAGGGGAGGTAAGTGAAGAAGAAACACTCTAAGCCTATTGCAGGGTAACTGAGGGAGGGTTCAGGGTCTTAACTATAAACTTTATCAAGAAGGAATGTTTTAACCCTAGATCCATAGATTGGTACATCTCTTTTGAGCAACACCTGACATTAGGAAAATTAGGAATCTCACACATACCACAACTAATTATAAGTGTTTATTTTTGCTTCATTTGCTTTTCTTTCAGGTAACTTATGTCAGTCTGTATAGCTAGTAGTGACTTGCACCTGGGCGCGGCTTTGGCAGCAAAATACAGGTTAATCTGCACTTTTAAAAAATAATTTCTACTGGGTAAAAGTCAAACATTAGAAAAAAGTGTCCTGAAGTGCAGTGTTTTAATAAACTAAAACTCATCAAAATAAAAGACACAGAGACAAGAGATTAAAAAAAAATGCTTTGCACTCCCCACATGGAGTCATCCAGATCAAATGTGTCTCAGTCATTGTCTTGTCTTTCCTCTTAGCCTGATGAACATATAATCAAAGTGGCCTTTAAAAACAGAGATATGGAGGGGAAGGCATTCTGCAACAGCACAGTGAAGGTGAGAGGAAGTCAGTGTACACATCATGAAAAAATAAAGTGTAATAAGATGGGAATTCCTATTTTATATTAAATAGAAGAAAGTTTTCACATTTCTATAAACTAAGTACACCTTTACATAATGCCCATTTGCTGCTATATCTATACTCCATACTGGTACTCAGGTTGTTGCACTCTATTTATTTTATGTGTATTACTTTAATACTTGCATTTATATCACTCAGGTTGTTGCACTCCATTTATTTGAACTACCTATTACTTCTTATTGTTTCTTCCTATTCTGTTTCTTTCGCTCCGGGACCGTGTGCACGTAATTTCGTTCCACCTTATGTAAACATGTGATGCGAATGACAATAAAGAATCCTTGAATCCTTTAGCAGAATTAGGTTAATGCCTTTTTGCTATTTTCTGACCTCAGAATTAATTTGCATCTACTCCTAGGATGATTGCTGGACCAGCAAACTGGCAAAACCTGTTTATATACGGGTGATCACACTTGTTGATGATCAATTAATCAAGTGTGTAATTACTCATCCACTTAATTCCACTAGAAAGCGGTGTACATAGTTTTTCACAACGCCGTGAAAACTTTCTTTTTCATTACTGTATACAGTGTCAGTAAATATAGTTTTATTGTATGTTTTATTGACTGTACTGCATTCCTCACAAACGCCTGCATGTTTTTCAGGAAGTAAATAAAATGCTAAATGAAGGAGTGCTGTTCAAGAGGAAGTGTATCAATGCTGTAAAACACACAAATGAGGTCTACCAGCGTCGCCTCAATCAATTGAAGATGGAGTACCAGAAGCTGAAATCAGAGAGCAGCAGCAGTAAAGTATCCTCTGATGCTCGCACTCGGAAAAAAAAGGACGATGCCATGGTAATTACCTCTCTGACCCCCCCCCCAAAAAAAATCAAATTTTCTTGGGATTACTTTTTGTTGTTTGTTGTGCTCTTTTGCAGACTTGTGCAAAATGACAGATCATAGATAACGATGACCAATGATTTGTGTTTATGTTTAGAAACTGCGGGCTCTGGAGAATGATCTGGAGAAAACCCAGTTTAAATGCATGGAAGCTCAGAACATCATAGTTAACTATCTGAAATTCAAAAATCACTTACATGTAAGTCCAGCATGCGAGAAAATGTTTTGTTACGCTTAAACATATCTTCATTTGATGTGATTTTTGTTAGAGAATTTGTTAATTGTCCTATAATGGTTTGTCTCAGATATTTTTTGAAATATCAGTAAATTTGTAGTGATTATTTTGCTATTCACGCTAGCTGTTAACTCTCCATTATGCATTAGCAGATGCCTGCATGCAAGTGGAAGCACTCGAACATGAGCAGTGTTTTGTACAGAGTCTATTAGTCATTGCTGTTTGGCAGTTTTGCAGCAAATAGTACATCTTCACTGTACTCTGCAGTTGGTTGACTGTTATATGGGACTCTGTTTGATACTGTACTTTTTGTCCCTGTTTATTCTTCAATTGACATGCTAGTTCTCGATTCCTGTTTTCCAAGGAAACCAGTCAAATGTATTTACATTTAAAGTTTTTTTTCCATTTTTTTATATGTGGTTTAATTGCTACTGTAAGAGCAAGTACGGTATATATAACTGCTGCCACACCATCAAAAGCCCCTTTGACAGAAATAGAGCAAGTGATCTGTCTGTTTATAGTGCAAACAAACACACTGTTACATACACAGGTGGAGATTTTAAATCCAGTTCAGGAATTTTTAAACCTGCTGAAAAAACCCCATCAAAAACTACAAAATAGAAAGGTAATTACAGGATGTCAATCGATAAGTTCCTAATTTAAATACAATGTTAGCAATAAATAACAGCATCAATGGGACCTGACTGTTGAAAATCGTAAGGATTATATGATTAAAATATTATTTAAATTAAATTTTGTGTTAGTGCACATTTTGTCTTGATTTGGTTTTAATTTCTTGATCACAGTCAGGTAATCCAAATACTTTATTTCTCTCACATGGACAACCATATTTCGGATTCTGATTATTTCATGTTCACTCACTTTTCCACCTTCACCACCTCAGGAGGAGAGTCTCACTTACAAGGGCCAGTTGGACTGTCTGGAAGCAGAAATCCTGAAGCAAAGAGAGGAGATGAATAAGCTGCAGATCATGAATAATGACCAACAGCTCTCCAAAGAAGCTACTAAGGTGGCCTATAAGATATATCCTGTGTGATGAGTTAAAAGCATAAATGTTTCAAGATACAGTGTAAGAATTAGAATCCGCTCCCTATTGCTCTCATAAGTCAGACGATTTGCTGGAATTATAAATTAGGAGGTATAACTTGGAAACACTAATACACTAGCCTTGCCTTACCTTATCTTATCTTGTAAAGATAAAATGAAATGATTGAGGATAACATGTCTGTCCACACGTATCTCAGACACTTCCTTCTGGTCTATATTATAGGTAATAATACGATTCTGTCATACTAACAATCTGTTTGTTTCACAGTGAACTGAAACAAGTTTTTCAGCCATTCTTCTTGTTCTTTGCAGGATGAGTTGCAGAAGCGGGAAGAGCTGCTTTACAAGGACAGTAAGGAGAGGGCGCGTATAATAGCAAGTTACAGGAAAAAGGTTAAGGAATGCAAGGCCCAGCCTGAAAAAGTCGATATAAGGGTGAGAGACATAAGGTGACACATATTGTAATTACAGCTTGAGAATGTGTCGTTAACTGGCTCAGACTTTAGACAAAATGAATACAGAGAATGATAAAAATGTATTAAATTTTACTTACCGAGAAATGTATAGCCGTAGTTATATCAGTGGGGTATTAAATGTATGGATGCGAATAACTTGAGATTTTCACAAGGAAAGAAAGCTAAAGCAGAGCAGCTTAAACCTAATCCACAGTGAAGGCCTCCCTATTCTTTGGTAAAATAATAATAAGGGAAGAAGAGTCATTTACATTTGGAATGATTAATACCTGCATGATCAGATAACTCTGCCAGAAAAACTAAGCGGTGAGGCCCAGCACATCATCACCGGGATGGAAGAAGAAGATTTGAAAAAAATCTCTACTTTTGAGGAGGCCTTCAGGCACATCAGCGAGACCACAGGTGTCACAGACATACAGGTATGAATGTTCCCACTGATTCTAGTACACACAGTGTAGTTGCTGTTATTCTTTTTTTTCATCCATTCTGTGTTTGTGTAGGAGATACTGGAGTGCTTTAACTCTCAGGAGGAGACACACCAGCATCTGCTGAAAAGGAAGGAAGAGAATGAGAAAGTCCTGCTGCAGCTGAAGGAAGAGAAGGAGCTTCTGAGCCAACAGTTTGAGGAGATGAAATATTTTAGACAGGCTAAACACCCCAGGTGAAGTATAGACATCTGCTTGACAATGGTTGAAATCTATTATTACTCTTGTGATAAAAACAAGAAAACACAAATATTTTAGAAATCTGTCAAGAACTACAGAACTACAAGAACTAAAAATTATATTTAGTCAGATAAATATAATTTATAACTTATTCTGTGTAACTTATACAAAGGTTTGAGCCGGCACACTGGGCATAAAAATAATTTTTATGTCCAGAAATGCAAGTAAATAACAGTAATTTGACATCTTAATCACAAATAATAATGTGCTTTACTAATTTTTTCGAATTGTTGTCCATGAAATTGAATATTCATGGATAACAACAAAAACTCAAGCATAAATATGATTTTGGTTATTACAAATGCAAAAATACATTTGGTAAGCAATGTATTTAAAACTTTAATGCAACAGCTATCACAGTGTCTGTCTGTATCACAGCATCAGATTTGTGAGGGCAAATTATATGTATATGTATAAAAATTGTTCTAAAGCCTCTGCTCTTTCTCTGTCATTAGTGACCAGCAGGCCCTGCAGGAGTCTGAGCAGCACCTGCAGACTCAGCAGCAGAAGTGTGATGCAGCCAAAGAGCGACTGGATTGGCTCTTGAAGACTCTTCACACTGCCCAAGCTGGAGTTGAGCACCTGGCAAACAAACTTCAACACATCTCACTGGTACTAACGATTTCAACCAGTCATAATATTGAAATAGCCAGTTTATCACTTATTCCTAATATTAAAATATTTTTCTGCCCTCGAACACAAAGCTTTTTAAGTGTAATTCCTTTTTATGTTTGTTCACTCATCTTCTTCAAGAGTGAGGACACAGTTCCTGAAGTGGATCCAGATTCTGATCACTTTGTTCTGGAGCTGATGGCCCAGTGTGAGAAGAAATTACTGTCACTGCACAAAGAACTTCAGGGGAAGGATGTGGCTGGTATAATGAAAGAGCTGGAAAAAAACAAGGTGAGACAAAGGTCCTCTGTAGCAACACGGCTATTTTAAAGACAGGTCCTGAGCAATGTTCCTTTTAATTTTTCATGTGTCTGAGCGAACACACAAACTCCCTGAGCGGTCCCTTGGACCACTGTGAGCAACAGCAGACGTGTGCACTGTGGTCACGCCAGCACTGAATCCATCCAAGTTACATGGTTTATTAAAATAATCAAATTACAGCATTTACATTTATGTTAGACCAGCGATCCCCAACCTCTTTTGCGCCACGGACCGGTTTATGCCCGACAATATTTTCACAGACCGGCTTTTAAGGTGTCGCGGATAAATACAACAAAATAAAACTAGTACCGGTACCGAAAAAAAAGAAGATTTATTCATAACACACGTGAAAAGACCCAGGAAAACCGAAAAAAAAAGTTAACAATAAAAACAATAAAAACAATAAAAACGATAACAAAATAACGCTGAAAAACGATAAAAACCCTGAAAACCATACATTTCACACCTGAGCCTCAACTCTTGCGGCCCGGTACCAAACAACTCACGGACCGGTACCGGTCCGAGGCCCGGGGGTTGGGGACCACTGTGTTAGACTACTTTTAATTAACTGCTTTAGCCCACTTAAAATGAAAATGTAAAAAATCTTGTTCATGACCTGTGTAGGATGTTAACACTATTGGAGGTAAAAATAACTTGAACTCCAATTTTGAAAACACAACTTTTTTATTTATTTTTCACATCACTCCTCACATCTCCAGTGGTTGTACACATTGTCATTAACAGCTTCACTCCTTATCAGCCACGCCGCTTTGCTAGCTAAAACACCGGTGTCGGCACATAAGGACGCTGTCATAGCCTGTCAACCACGTTGTTTAGTTCGGTATATACGAATGTAAATCGCATGATTCAATGCAATTCAGGTTAGATTTTTTTTGTGCGCAAGACAGATTTTTTGTGCGCAGAGACCGTGCCAGCAGTGCGCAATTACGCACGTGCGCAGCTTAGAGGGAACATTGGTCCTGAGTCTGGATGGGATATAGAAAACATGGTTGACATTTGCAGAGGTAGTTCTAGCAAAGATGTAGTAGTCAGAGTGGGAAAGGCATGGGCACAACATTGATTGCATTGCACGTGGTGTCTCTATTAACAGAGAATGTTAGAACATTATACGTATATAGTATAACACTTATGAACAGGTGCCTTTGAGGAGTTGAGTCACCCGATCAGAGCTATTAACAGGAAAACGTTTGGGAACATTGTCAGACAACTTGTACGCTATAATTAGACTGTCACAGTTTGAAATTTAAACACTGTCTGAGCTTGAGCTTTTCACAGCTTACATAAAGCTGTGTAAAAGCTGCTGTGCTTTCTTTGCTTTACTTATCAGTATGGAAAGGTAACCATTAGAGGCACCTGAAGTGTTTGCTCTGAACACTCAACAGCACCTTCTCACTTTGAGAATATGAGATACAGAGCATATGACAGGAAACATGCAACAGTCTGCCTGACATTCAACCATGACATTGATAATATGGGTCACAGGTCCATTTTTAAATGGTACGATCTTTGTAACTGACGCAACTCTGAGCTGATAATTTGGAAATCAGTCCAGCCTTATTTGCCTGGCTGGTGCAGTTGAACTTTACATGGCTTTCCTTTGTACCTCTACTAAAGGAGAATTTGAAGTGTGGCAAAGATCAGTCTGTTCATCTTAGCTTTTGCAAGTTAACCCTCTCCAGGCAGACGTTGCAGATTTGCAACAGTTAAGACCTAACAACCTGATTACCCCACATACATATTTTATGAGTTTTTTTACTCAGAAGTACCACTGCAGGACTTGGTTGTGCATTAACAACAAAAAACTTAATTTGGTCCTGAGAGAGTTAATGTTGTCGACATTGCCTAGTAACCACTGCTAACACATGGGCTATGTTAAGAATCATATTGGATAATATAAAACAAGTAGCTGGTATTATGTGTTAAGGTGGTTAAATTTCAATAAACTTTTAACTAAGTTATTCACTGTATTTAAAAGGGCTGCAATGATTCATTGAGTAAATCAAATCATTTCATTACAAAAAACTTTTGAAAAATTGAAACAGCAATACTTGTTACTGCAATCATCGTTAATGCAAGCAGACTACAGTACAAATGTATGTAAGCAGATGATCTGTCTAGATTAGGCATCTTGCTGAAAGCTAATGATAGCCATCCCATTTTCTGTCACAGTGATAAAAGAGGCGGTTTACGACACCTTATTTCAAGGTTATTACTATTTCCATATTATTTTGCAGATTTAAACAAGTGTAAAATATCAAATTATATTAGTTTTAGTTTTTTATTAAATTGTATTAATATTTTTAAATATAAAAAAGGTTATTTTTGTTTTGTTTTTTCTGCAGGATGTAAGATCTGGTGCTGTTAGGCTGAGCTGAATTATTATTAACATTAATTAAGATCATCTTCATCAACATAACATCTGTTTTCTGCAGCAGGAAACACTGCATCAAAGCACAGGCCAAACCTGAGAATGCTGATATGCTCACTACACTTAACCCTTTCATGTATGAATTATGACAACCTCAATCAGGATTTTTTTTCTTAAGTATTTTTGATCATCTTTAGGCATGAAAAAAAGATTTTTGAACTTTGTTTTTATAAACATGTACTTTTTTTCAAAGAGTTTTTTTTTTACATGTCCACCTGTTAGGAATGTGGACTTTGATGTTTTATTTATCAGGGTACAACCTTAACAGTCTTTCACCCTATGATAGCTGCGATCTTACAGAGCAGTGTCCCTTTATTTATCAATTGAATAATTTTGGGAGGTAACTTGCAAGGTTACAGAAATGTTGTACTCATTGTTCCCCCTGGTGACATAAAAAACAGAAAAGGATGCATGTGTTTAGTGTTGCACACCTGTAGAGAATGAAACTATAATCGTCATGTTGCTATCTTTGTATCTCTACACCCTGAAGAAGGCACAAGCCAGTAAGTGAATTGCTTTAAATGTGGGCAGGGCTTATGCCTCACAGATTTTTAATGGAATTTGAGATTTGAGATCTTAATTTCTGACTTGATGTTTCTTTATTAGTTGTACATAAGAAGTGAAGAAGAACTGTCAGCATACATCACCAGAGCCAAACAACCTGTGGATCAAGCACATGACCCCCTCCATGACAGTAAGTTGGTATCCTTTTACACACCAACAGTAATGACTGCACACTGTCTACATCCCTACTTACTTCACCGTTTCTGTTGCAGAGAATGAGACTGACGAGGGCAAAGCTAAGGTCATCACGCGTGAAGCGCTGAAGCTTCAGTCTCAGCTAATCATTGACTCCCACTCCAAGAAAAAGACCAAGATGAAGATGTTGAAGAAGAAGGGCAAGTTGTAAAGCGACAACACAATCCTCAATGTCTCCCAAAAACGTGAAATATAAAATGGGATGATTGTGTCCAAGACTTTCCGCGACAATTGTTTCACCTCTGTAATTGTTATTTTGTGTCTTTTGTGTCTGCTATAAAGATATTTAGTATACTGTAAATGAAAACATGTATTTTAACATTATAACAGTATTAAATGATTTTCATAAATTGATGCTTCGTGTCTATACTTATTGTGTAACTGGGTTTGTTTTGGCAATAGTCAGGTGTCACTGTTGCACCAACACACTCTACCCCACCTCTGTTTTTTGAGCTCACATTTCACCCTGAGCCTTCCTGGAAGCCAATGAAAAAATACTGTTTTTAGTTTTTATTCTTTTTACCATAACTCCCTGTATAGTGTGTGGAATAGAACCCAGTGACTAGCAACTCCTTAGTTGTTAATGTTGTTATTTTCCTGTTGTTAGAAACAATGAATGTTGTCGGTTTTATCTAACAAACCCAGCGTATAGTAGCCTACTGAAAGCCAATACTTGTGACGAATCCAGCCTTTATTCATGCTTGAATTACATCAAACTTGCTTTGTCCTGCTATAAGTTACAGATGTGAATAGGAACCCTCCCTAAAGTGCGCACAGCTGAACTATTTCTGCAATGACTGGCATCTCAGACAGTGTTTGCTGCTTCTCTTCTTAACCACTTTATGTTTGTGGGAGCATATGGTTGAGTAGACTGAATAATACATCTCCATACCAACATGTCAGATAATAACCACAGTGAATGTCTCAGTGTCTCGCACAGGACAGCAGCAGTGATTGAATGACGTACCAAAAGCAACCAGAAAGACAACTCTGTGCTGTGAACAAAAGCTCTCTGAGCAAATCCCTGCTGCACAGTTATTAGGTTTTTGTGTGTATGTGTGTGTGTGCTCCAAAAAAGGTTAGAATAAGGACAACTGCGATAAAACATTGTGTCGAGCATGGCTCAGGTTGTGTTTATTTTCTAAGTTTTGCTGAAGTTTTTTGACTGCTTGTTCATGTCTTTTTTATCCATTGCTCTCTAAAACTAAATTTATCTACATTTCAGTATATTTTATGCGGGAATAGAAGCTGTTAGAGCTTATATGATGTTTGGAAGATAATATAAAGGGGATTTTGTGATACTGGAAACAAAATAAATCGGACTTAGAGCGTAGCTTAACTATCTGAATCCCAGCACAATTATGCAATTAGTACTAAGCCTCTGTTTGTTGTTATGGACTAATAAAAGCTCCTGAGAACATTTATTTAGAGAGTTTTTTCACAGACTTATGCACTTTGAGTTCATCTGAAACATTACATTAGCCTATACCTAAAGTTATTGTTATGTACTGGAATTTCTATAGCACTTCTCTGGTCTTACCGACCACAAAAATCACATTTTAACCATACATTCCCACAGTGCTTTATTCTACATTCACTGCTCAAAAACATTAAAGGAACACGGAGAAGGGCGTTGGTTTAGTTCACCAGAATAAGCAGTAACACAGAGAAATACACCAGATCTCAGTGGGGGGAAAAAATCACAATGGATATCTGTACTGATAAGGACTGGGTAATGTTCAAACGAAATGATGCCACGTCATTTGCAGTAGGCTAGTCCTTTTTCCCGAAATTTCATTGCAACAACTCAGGCTCTTATGTGCCTGTAAGCCTTTGTGACAATGTCAGGGCATGCTCCTAATGACATGATGGATGGTTTTTTGGACCTCTCCTCTAGGGCATCACTGAGTTTCTGGATAGTCTGAAGTTCAACCTGTTGCCTGTCGAGGTCTGTGTGTCCATCTATGGTTATGCCTCCCCAAACCATCATTGACGCACCACCAAAGTGGTCACGCTGAACGATGGTTCAGGCAGCATAACATTCTCCACAGCTTCTCCAGACCCTTTCACATCTACTACATGTGCTCTTGGTGTGGTGACCCTGGTCTCTGTGAAAAGCACAGGAACTCAGGTCTGAACCCGTCAATTCTGCTATTCTGTTGGCCACAGTGATCACAGGGCCCACTAGAGAATGCTGGGCACTCATGCCACCCTGATTAAGTCTGTTTCTATTTGTTTAGTCAGACACATGTTGTTTCTTTAGGAACTGTGCTTTCTTCCACTGTCAAAAAATATTACACAAAATATTTTTACTATAGTGATATTTTAAGCATCAGACACTTCCTTTGCCACATTCAAGTGAATCTGCACAAATGTATCTATTTTATGTATCAATATGTGGTAGGAATGTTTTTATTAATGCCAATGAAAACCTATATAATCAGGCACCAGGTAACAGTTCAACATAGACTGCAGTTGATTTTGCTTAATTATGCTCCAGGTTTCTTTCTGTATATTGACTTTGATACATCAAGGCAGATGCACAATTTGCTCTTCAGTCTTCATTTATGTTTGCTTGGTTCCATTTGAGGAAGTCAGAGCATAAGGAGACAATACTGCACCAGGCTACTTTTAGAAGATTTGAGAAGGTAACCTCTTAAAGGAGGAATCTATTCATGTCAATGTTAATTGCACTTTATGTATTTATTTATTAGGAATCTTGCATATCTCTGCTTTGTTGTTTTTAAGGTTTAGCCAGGGAAGTAGCAGCAGTACTTTGACAAAGTCCCTCACTTGTTTTTTAGACTTTCTAGAGAAAAGATGTCCTAATATTAGACTTCCTTGTTTTTCTTTCTGGCTCTTTCATAGCTATCAGGTCTTCTGGTCATCTGTGCATGGTTGCAGCGGAAAGGCTATAGAGCTGCTGACTGACATTACAACATTGTGTATGTTTAAGGATGTTTATTACCAAAAAGCGCTGTATTATAAACACAGAATTCATATTTTCTAGTAAAAGAGATGCCCATTCCTGCACTGCCCATTTCTTCTCAATAATTCCTCTGCTTCCTTCATTGTATTAAGAATGCACAAATGCATGTGTTTGTCTCTAAATTTCTGACGGGGACTTGTCTCCTCAGCTTCCTGAAATCTACACATGTATGTCTGCTTTATCGCTGCCTTTTTGCCTTTACCAACCAATTCGTGAGAGGAGGCAGGCATGCTCCTTCTGCTGCAGAATTTGAATCACTGCCACAAGTGTAGGCTCGATTCTTCAGCATCTTCTGCCAAAAATGCTTTCTGTTGAACATGCCTCAGCTGTTAGTGGAGGCTTTAGGTGTGACTGCATGCTTGCCTTGCCTTTCAAATGCAAAATAGTACGTTCCTAGGTAAGAAGAAGTATTTAAGGGCTTGGCATTTTACCACCAAACTCTCATCAGTCAAAATGAATTCATGGCAATTTGCACTGTTTAACAAAAAAAGGACACGTTTTTTTTGTTGTATTTTTAAATTTCTGCAGCAGAGGTGCTTATTTCTATCCATGGCTGAGGGGGAAAAAAGAAGGCAGTGAATTTGTGACTTGTGAGAAACGAATAAAATGGGACATAATTACATATCACAGAGAGTACAGCCAAACAAGGAGGAGGCCATTCCAACACACACACACACATACTCACACATACACACACGTACGTACATGCGCAGGGCATCATCCACCCACAAACACAAAGAACAATCAGCCCTCGGTGATAAATACCAGAGTCTCTTCCTTCCAAGTTTCACACTGCTCTAAATGAGTATTCTGGTTGGACAAGTGCAGCTCTGAACAAGGATTACTGAGAAGCAGTAAGTGACTGTCGTTTTCTTTGCTTTGTGTAGATGTGATCGTATTTAATATCAGACTGATGAAGATTTTTCTTGGAGATGCTGTGGCCGACGCATTTTCTGCATCTTGCAGGTGTTTCAATATGTTAATTTTGTACCTTGTTAGAGAAATATTGAATGGTCAAAATGAAAGTAATATGTCACTCAGTGTTCATGTTTTTGTTTATTGTCTTATGTGCCCATTAAAAGCCTTTTTAATAGAAGATAAGCAGCTTTTAAAAAATCAGCATGACTCCAAAAATGTAAGCAGTGTCATTTTAACAAAGCAAACACTGGCGCATTTCATGTATACACTCAGTATTGGGTCAGTTTTATTTTATTAAACTTAAATTAATTCAAGATAAATGCCCCATATCTTAATGCTTTCTTATAGTTCTTTCTGTTTTTTTATGCTATAGAAGAACAGATAGATGTATTTCATTAAGAAGTGAATT